CGGTATCATGGGTATCATGAGAAGGGTCAGACAGACCACGGTAACTCCGCAACAAAATGGCTGATCCCGGTCATCTGTAACATCTGTAACTGACTCTTCTCAACCTTTCTTACCACGCTTCATGGTACTTGTAGTGCGTTTAAACGCTACGTATACAAGACCTTTATCTGCACACAAGTACACATGAGAAAAGCAAAAAACACTAGAAATAGGCACGCCAGGGAAGGTGGAATACCATAACAACACATGACATATTGTTATACTACTCCACCCACCTTAACTGTGAGCCCTTAGGCGTCGCCACTCCGTAGCCTTTGGAGTCCAGGTTTCCTCCCACTTTCATGGTGTCGCAGGGTTTGCGCTGCTCCGTGTACTCGTTCATTGTGGACTCCAGCAGGAAGGCGTACTTCCCTTTGGATTTTCTCACTCGTGCCACTCCCTCTGCCGTGGTCTTAGTGAACACCGTGGGCTCGGCAGACTTCATGTAGCTCCACATTTTCTCATAAACGGCGATCTTTGACCTCTGGAAGTAGGGGTAGAGGTGTAGAATGGCAGTGAAGTGTGCAGAGCAAGTGTGGAGGGTGCAGATTATTTGTTTTTCGCTGAATTATTAGTTATTACAGTTACAGTTATTACAGATATGACAGTTTAGAGGTTCTCAGCCTTGGGGTTGAGACCATAGACTGTATAAAAGATGGACGACGCATCTCCACTTCCTTCCACAATAGAAAAGTGAAGCCAAAACATTCTCAGTATGGCCGCTGTCATCTTGCGAAAATGACGTCATTTGGAGTCTGCGCAGTAGTGATCGTGAGGTGGAACCGCGGAATCAAAGTCTCGTCCAAACTCCCGCAGACCCAAACGCAAGCTCACAATCATGACACCACACCCCATTTTTACAGTATAGCATCAAATAATTAATTAACAGCAAACTTATTAGAAAAATGAACACTTGAACATACATCAGCATGCTAAGAACTACCTAAAATGACAGAAAATGTCTTTGGAAAAAATGTATTTGACGTGTAATTTGATTTTTTAGTTTGTCTCACATCCCATTAGATTACATGGAGATGGCGGGGTTTGTGACCTATACTGCATCCAGTCACCTGGGGGCGATCGAAACATTCTGGCTTCACTTTTCAAGACTTGTGCGGCACACTTGGTTGAGACCCCTTGTGGGACTGTGAGAGATTTTTATGAATGTATTAATTTAAATTATAAATTATTATGTGCACTACTGTACAAAAGTTTGGGGTCAATAGTTGTTCTTAATACTTTTATTTTGCAAGGTTAAAGCAGCTGACACAGAACAACATACGCTGTTTGCGTTCAGTGGATACTCTCCAAAATGGCACCAGAGTGATTTTTGGGTGAACTATCCCTTTAAATCAGTGGTTCTCAAACTTTTTACAGCGGCGTACCCCCTGGGGCATTTAACATTCTTCTGCGTACCCCCTCTCTTCCACTTAGACCGCAGTTACACCTTTTCTATTAAAGGACAGTATTTGCCCCCTTAAACTGATTTACAGGTGCATTTTTTTTTCCTTTATAGAGGCAAATATTTTCTATCCTTATTAAGTGTATGTCATGTTTTATGTTATTCTTAACATTCCATTAAGTGTATTATTAATATAATAAATAAAGCAATAAATGATGGCAAATCGAAGTGATACTTGTAGATTTAAAAATAAAACAGCCAATAGGTGGCGGCAAGTCGCTGTCTTAATGAGCCAGGCGTCATGTCATTCAT